TTTTTTAAAAGATTTTAAAAAACTGCCACATTGCTGCCATGCATCAAAGGACGTAGGCAGAAAGTGAAAATAATCGGTTGAAAAATCACTAACTAATGTAAAATACGACCTGACAAATCTCCAGGGGAACGAGGGGAAACTCATACAGCAATGTGTTTTTGGCTGTTGCAAATGAAATCCAACTTTTTCCCTGGGCAGTGAAGGCATCACTTTCTCATCCACTGCTTCTGACTTCGACAGAGACTGGTGCTGTGGCAGTGTGGTCACACATGGACGTGCAGTGGACGGATGGTTAGGACGCATGACTTGAACTAAGAATAAATACTTTCTAACAACGACTGTTGATAACATGTTGTTTGTTGACCTGGAGTATAAAAAGAACAGGAATTCACAACTGTTTTCTAATTCAGTATAATGCAAACCTCAAAAACGTATTGATTTTTCTTTTCTGTTAAACTGCCACTGCGATACTTGACGAGAGTCAGTCTTATCCTGTCCTTACATTCTTTACAAAACATCGTTGGATCCAATTAGAGGCAATGGTGATTAGAGTGATGCCAATAGTGATGTTTTTGAAGCTTTTATGATTCCCTGATTAACAGCAGACACACGTTCCTTATTGATGTCCTTTAGCGTTTGGCAGACGCTGCCATTAGCGCCTGTCTGTCTTCGGTCCTCAGCTGATCGCTGATCTGGTCGGTGACACCGACGCCGACCGTCCTTGGAGGATAGAGGTCGCCGTACGATGCCAAGGTCGTTGATGCATGAAACGTTAATATGAATAATCTGTCTTGAAACGCTGCGCTCGTTCAGCTGTTCTGGTTTGTGTAGCAACCGATAGCTAATCCCACAAACTGGCACCGAGTCGCGACTGCAGACATGTGGGACTCAGCGACTTATTCGCAAGTCAGCGAGTTCGTCATTGAATTAGATCGAGTTCACTCAGCAGTGACGTCAACGCACGCTGGTTTCCATTACTAACCGTCGCTCTGATGTTCATTCAGATCATAGTTAATGGACTTAATAGTGCACAGTCACCTCGTGTGAAGCCCCTGCTTGTTTGGGTATAAACATGAACTTCAGCATTGCCAGTCAATGCTGTCAACCCCTTAAAATATCCCTGAGCAACCTTTTCCCCCCACACTCCCAAACAGTAGGGGTCTCCAGGACCCACATGTGTTAAACACACCGAGGCCACCGGGGCTGCTCCCTCCAGAGCCGTCACGCTGAGAAGTGACCAAAGTGAGAGGAGGAGGACATGCTTTCCTGTCGTGCTGTTTCTGTGAAAATGGCTGAAGAGGATGTGAAAGAGGAAGGTCTGCCGAGTGGTCACAGATGGAACTACTCAGAGATACACACACAAACACACACGCAGGCAGTGATGTTAGCGTCTAAGAAGTTCACCTTCGTAGGAAAGATCCCTGTACGGTCCACGATCACTCACTACCCACTGAGTCACAGATCAGAGATGTGGAAGCAGCAGGAA